GAAAGGGGAAAGAAAAACTGAGTGGAGGGAAAAGAGGGGATTGACCGAAAAGGAGAAAGGCAGCTGGGTGGAGGGGGAAGGAGGGGGTGAATGAGAGGGAGAAGGGGGTGATGAAAGAGAGAAGGAGAGGCCTAGGTGGAAGGAAGGGAGAAGGAGAGTGAGGCTGGGTGGAAGGAAAAGGGAAGAAGGATAAAGGTGGATGTGTGGGTGGGGAAGAGGAGTTGGTGGAGGGGAAGGGGAAGGGTGATGCCTAAAGAGAGAAAAAAGCTATGAGAAATGAGCAAGTTGGTGAGATTGGATGAACAAGGAAGGAGGGATGACAGAAAAGGGGAAAAGGGGGCTGACAGGAGAGGGGGAAAAGAGATTGTAATATCTAAAAGATAAGATAGATGGTTTCATTTTCTCTTAAGCGAATCTAGATTCGTGATTCGCTTAAGTTAAAATGAAACAGGACTATCTATTTCTCGCCCAAATTGGACTTGATCTGTTTCCAAAAAACATAGACACGTAACTGAGAAAGGTCTCACTTACTTATTGTGGCTTCTTTTCCTCTTCACTTTTGGGGAAATATCTTTCTTACTGCCACCACTTTAATAAACATGCTTCCTACTCTTGTTCAAAAGAATAAAAGTCTTTTAGAAACTCTTTTTTCATAAAAAGCCATATTACAAATTCTTGAAGGTCGTTGTATGTACTTGTTTTCCTCTTGTCAGGCCATATAGCCATCATAAAATGGTGATTTCATTGTTCCTACACCTAACATTATAATATAGTGGTGATAGAAGGAAGGGGAGAAGACATCATGGAAGAAGGAAAAACAAAAAAAGACAAAGGGACCTTATTACCCGAAAATGTTAAAAGTTAGAGACAAAAATAAAATATTTTTCAAAGAATCTAAAACATGTCATTTTGTATTCAAAATGAATTGTCATGTGTCACTTAACGTGTAACAAATTATTACTTTGTTACACAATTTTAACGTTTCTTAATAGCAATGACTAACGTGATTGATGATTGTTAATTTTAAGGACTAAAATTTCAAATTTCAATGATTAAATTTAATCAAGTTGCATATTCCTGGAAATAAAGTGAGGGCTTAGCCTACATTAAATACCTTCTTTGTTAAATATTTGGAAAGTTTTATTGCTCATAATAATCTTACTTAACTCGAATAAAATTAAATCGCTTGTAATAAATGATACCTATGGTCTAGAAAAAAATTATCTTTGTTAAATATATTATACAATAATTTAAAATAATATATTTAAATATTATGTTCAATATATATATATATATATATATATATATATGAGATTTTGTTAATTTAGTATCTAATATTTATGATTAGAGATAGAAATAAGTTAAGCTATCTAACATGAGCCTAAACCTTAAAGCTTATGACCTAACTTTTTTAAAGTCTAACTTTGCTTGACCTATTTAAGTAATAAACTTAATTTAAACGTTAATTAATTGAATAGTTCAGACTTGTGTTTAAGAAAAAGTCTACTAGATCCGATAAAATGACCTATTTAAAACTCATAAATTTTTGATAATATATTAAATAATTCTATATAAAAATTATAATGTAGTATTATATTAAATAAATTAAATTTTAAAAGTAATAAAATCTTAATTTTTTTATTAGAGTTAGAGAGTGTCCTTGTTACATACTTTTAGAGAGAATTTAAAATCTTTATGTTAATATTATTTGATCTGTTTTGTACGCATAACACTAATTTATATTTGCGTTTATTATATGTTTAGTGATTTATTTATTTAAATTAAATACATAATTTTAAAATTATAAATAAAAATATGTAATTTTATTATAAATATTCAAAATATTAAAACATTTTGTATGATTTTAAATATAAATTTTTTAACCTTTATAAAGATATACTTATTTAAATAGTTTGATAGCCTGTATATAAAAAGATTAAATAGTATATTAAAAGTCTTAATACAAAGTAAATTATTAAAAAGCTTAATAAGTCAAATTAAATTTTAAAAAAAAATCACGTTAAACTTAATAAAAAGTCTATCACATATATAAATTAAATTTAAACTTTAAAATTATTAAATAATTCATATCTTCTTATGAAAAAAAATGATATGTTTTCATCCCTATTTATGATTTACCAATTTTATTCTTCAAATTTTGGCACACCCTTTCCTCCGCTACTGCCTTTCCGTGTTTGAAAGGTTCAAGGCCAAACGCTTTGGAAAATGAGGAGGAAATTACTAATGATTAATTTTAAAATTATTTTACTTTTTTAATGTAAATCTTTTAAATTTATAATTATTAAATAATATGATAATGTCAAGAACACATTTTTTTACAGAGTTTTACTTATTAATTAATTTTTATTAAAAAAACTGATTAAATTAGATTAGAAGGAAATTTAATAAATTTTAAATAAAATTTAATCAACAATAAAAAAATATATTTAAAAGATATGGCCACGGGTAGTGAAGTTATCCTATGCTCCACTTTAATCGTTACCTACATTATTGTTGATGACGATAGATTATTTTAGATCAAGAGATGTTACCTCCTCCTTTACACCAACATCTTGAGTAAAATTTTGTACTCTCATGGCTTATAATATTATTCTCTTGCAGTTATTATTTTTAATTACTTAAGGAAAAATAAATTAAATAAATATGATTAAGTTTTATATATAATTTATGAGAGTATATATATTTGTGGCATCCTGAATTGTTGCTTCCGCTTTCATATTAACGTTTTTTTTGTGTGTTATGATTTTCATCACTTTAAAGTTATATATAAGGATTTAAATTATTAAATATTTTTAATTTGTAAAATGTAAATTAATGTGACTATATTAATTTTTATTGTATTAACATTATCATATTTTAATCGGTAAATAAATTTAAAAAGTTAGAAGTGACAATTAGTTTGAAAGGCTTGGACTTGATGCAAAGTTACTTACCCGATGCGATGGGAAGTTCATTGATATCCCTCACGGTTTGATACACGATCCATCAAATTTCAAATCCTATCGCATTTATGAATGTGCAGTGCAACCACTAATAAGTCACTTGTATATGGACCACTTCTGGAGTTATTTATTTCACGCAACAACCACACTCCAAACTGTATTGCATATTTAAGCTACCCAAAGTAACACATCTCATATCGTGATGCCACCAAGGCACCAACCAATTTAGATGTGGTTTTGGCGCTACAAGATAAAAAATAAAATCACCAATTCATAACACATTATTGAATTTACACAAGAGGAGAAAAATACACACTTGCACCAACATGCCAATTATCAACACTCAATCAAGTTATTTACTATATATACAGCATATTACTGAATTCATTATGCAGCCATGGACATTTTTATCCTGCAAATGCAAGCTAATCAGTGTAGTTCAAAAATATTTGTAAAAGATTCAGAAACGAAAAATAAAGACTATTTGTAGTGTTAAATGTAGTTATTCTTTAACAAGTACTTTGGAGCACTGTTAGCCATGCCTACCTACCTAACTATGATTGCATGTGTCCTGTTCCAGCTTTGGATTCACATTGGCTTAATGGCTCCCAACATGGTAAAAGTAAAATTTTAGCAGCAAAATATCTTCGGCTCCTCAAACGGGAAACCAAAGGTCAGAATCTAGTACGTCTTCACCTGCCATATTCCACCCATCTTCATTCCGCATTATATCGATGGATGTTTCCCCTTTGATAAACATGGTTTTGTTGAAAGCTAAGTACATTTTTTTAAAATTCAGCTTAGCAAGTCAATATCTAGAACACCCTTGGCCATGTGAATCGTCTTAAAACCAACGAAACACACATAACATTAGACTGATAACTAGACGAAAATTAATCAACAGGTAGTAAGACAAGAATAGATATTTACTGCGTGACACATCAGTTAGATTATTCACAAATTGCTAGCATGAAACAGATTGTTAAATCTTTAGATGAGGTCATAGTGTTGCAACTTCCATCTCTCAGCATAATATCATCCATTTCAGAGATGAGACGATACTCTTTCTTTCTATCTCTCTCTCTCTCTCTCTACATACATCGGGTTGGGGTGGGGGGAAGTGAGGGGGTGTTACAACATTATTCCGACATTTGCTTTCTTTAATTCTTTAGTTGTTATCACTAAGCTATAAATCATTTAATCAAATTATGTAGTATTGACAGATCAGAGTCATCAACTCTTCAAACTAGAGATTGGCGAATGCACAAGTAACTTAATTTCTATGCGAAAACTATGCTACCCCAATTAATACAACATATACAGGTATCTGAGTCCTTAAATCACAAGTCACCGAGTATGAGAGAGAGCAGCCAATTCAGAAATAGAATTACCAAACGCAAACATTTCCGAAACTTTACACAAGAAGTTGATCCCTAACTAGAATTGGGGAATTGAGTTAGAAGACAATTCTATGGGCATTATGGAACATTGACATTAAAAAAGAAAGTGGCCACTTCTTGCTTCTAATAAATAGCCAGTTATTTTAATATATTATTTTGTTTGGTTTTTCATGGATGATTAGCAATACAATAGCCTTTTAATAAAAATCTATGCTTTTTATTTGTTCCAAGGGATTAAAGCTAATGAGTGAAAGGCTCGTCGTAGGTCTGAGCACTGATAATAAAATGATATCATATTTCTCTTATATCTTTTCATTTCCAGGGACAGTGGAGTCTCCACTTAGCTCAAAGTAACATCATAATTACTTGTAAAGAGACAGGAATGGGGCCAGTATGTGTTCGCTTCAACAGAAGCTGATACTACCCACAATGGCAAAATGAGAATCTAACTTTAAAAAGTTAGCACAACCAAAAAGATAAATAAATCTTCACTGGGTCCTTTGCAGGCACTTTGGTTTAGGTCATGAAAATCTTGTTCACACAGTTACATTCAGAAGGCACCAAGTTTAGCAAATATATTCGTTAAAAAGGGGGCCAGTCCAAATAGCTTCAAAAGTAAAAGAAATGTTCGCTCAACTTTAAAAGAGCCGAAAATTCCTGGAATTCATCAACTTGTAGTGGCAGTGACAGGTAATTTGTGCTAGAATCATGCACCCAAAAAGTTCTTTCAGATTAAAAAGCAAGAACCGGGTCAAGAATAAACAGTCATATGATGGTAGGAACAAAAAAACACAGAAAGGGAAGAAATGGATTTATGCAAGGCTTGTAACTATTTTTTTTCTCCCTTCTTTTTTCTGCATTAGTTTCTACAAATGGTGAAGACAATTAGAGTTGACCTAAAAACATACACTTCTCACTAGTTAATGATCAAGACAAAAACCACTCACTCACACAATCACTCACTCACCGAGCCTTCTTCCGCGACTTGAACAGGAAATTCGAGGGCGGGGATGGTGAGAACTCGAAGGGCAAGTGTGGTGGTTCAGTCTCACCAGAGAGCATCCCCACAATCTCTTTCATGGAAGGCCTCTTCCCTGGTGATCTCTGCAGACACAACAAGGCAATGGTGATGCAGAGCAATGCCTGCTCCTTATCCAATGAATGAATAGAAGGGTCAACAAGATCCAAAAGTCTCCCATTGTGAGCAAGTTGCCTAGCCCAGGAAATGAGATTAGCCCTCTCAAATTCCGATATCGGCGACGCCGTCACCTGAAGGGGTCTCCTTCCAGCCACCAAAACCAAAAGCAGAACCCCAAAACTATACACATCACACTTCTCAGACAATTGGCCTCCACCACCATACTCAGGAGCAATGTAACACACAGTTCCCCTCATACTTGGAGTACTACTAATTCCACCACTCTTTGGTATATCCCCACTAACCCAATCTTGACTATTCCTCCTCCCAATCCCATTCCTTAACTCGCCACTCAAACCATCCAACCACCAATCAATGCTCCCTCTACTACTCTTACTCTTCCTCTTCCTCTTCTGTTCCACCCCATCCTCATCTTTCTGCCACCAAGATTCCCCCTCAAGACTCCTCTTTTTCTTCTTGCTCTTCTTTGCAAGCTCCTCACAAAACTCCTCCTTCCACCACTCCCTTGGCTTCCGATTCTTCTTCACCTTAACCTTAACCTTTTCCTCATCAAGTGAAGCCCACCAATCCAATCTCTTCCTATGCTTCTTCTTACCCTCCACAACCACCCCACCATGTGAAGAACACGAATCAACCCACTCACTCTTCGGCCTCTCCTTCCTTATCTCACTCCCAATCCACTCCATCACATAATCCTTCACTCTCCCCGATTCAGACCCTACCCCACTCTCTTGCTTCCACCACCAATCCCTCCCTGAACCACCACCGCCACCACCCTTTTTCCGGTGATTATTCCCACTGTCAATGCTGAACTTATCAAAACCCCCATCGGACAAAACACTCGACTTATCCACCCCCGCCGCCTCGGGCGACACCGCCGCCGGCGCCATCTCCGGCGAGGCATCGGAATCCAAAACCCTGACTGTACAACTCTCCGGCGAACGATCCACATCAAAGCCTGCAGTAGTATTAGTCACCACACTCTCAACCTCCTCCAACGCAGAGCCTCGATCATATCCACACTCCTCAACAACCCCTTCCTCCTTCTTCTTCTCCTCCACCATCCCCATTCCCACATCCTCCACCGTCTTCACCCTAGCAAGCCCAAAATCCCCAATCTTGGCCCGAAAATCCCGATCCAGTAAAACATTACTGGGCTTAATATCCCCATGGATCACAGGCGGGTCACAACCGTGATGTAAATACTCCAGGCCCATAGCCACCGAAACGACAACGTCAAAGCGTTTCCCCCAGTTCATCAACTCGGGACAACGCCGGTCCAATAACGCGTCCTGAAGACTCCGGTTCGGCATAAGCTCATAAACCAGAACCAGCTTTCGACCGCGCCGGTCCGAAGAAAAACCCAGAAGAGAAAGAATAAAAGGAGAACGAAGATTCGAACACAGCGTTAACTCGTTGTGAAACTCCCTCTCTCCTTGCAGCGAACCGGGCGAGTCCATCACTTTAAGTGCCACCGTTTGACCCGAAGGTAGTGTTGCCTTGTGAACCGAACCGAACCCTCCGTGACCTAACTTTGTTGAGGGTGAGAATGAGTTCGTTGCTCGTCGAAGAACGGAATACGAGAAGCGACGCTGGTTGTGCTCAAACGGTGCCGTTCGGTTGTACGAGAGCTTTCGGTAGAGGAAGATTGTCACAGAGATTATTAGCGCCACCAGGAAGAGCGACGCCGCGATGGCTCCGCAGAGGATTATTTCCCGGTGGTGGTTGCGGTGGTGGAGGGCCACCGCGGGAGGAGACGGTGGCGGCGGACGCGATGGCATGGCTGTAATAATGAGAGGGAAATGTTGTTAACCATTCATGAGAGAGAGAGAGAGAGAGTGTTGAGTCTTAGTGTGTAGTAGTGACCAGTTGTTTCCTTGGCCAACCAATATTGTAATTGATAAATGGAGAACTCAATTTAATAATTGAAGTTATGCTTTTTAAGAATATAATAAAATTATCTTAAGATTCCCTTTTCTTCTCATTTCCTAGTAAAATAACAAATACTTTAGATGCATAGCTAGAACCTAGAAGCTTAGGGACATAGGGTGAGTGTGATAGTAAATTACTGTTTTTTTGTTTCCATTAGAGATTAATTTTATTTTTATTCATTTATTTGTGCACAAAATTTAAAATAAAATTAATTATTATTTTTTACAGGTATTTTAAATACATATAATAAATAATAATTTATTATTAAATTTATAATTCTTAATATTATTAATATGTTAAGTTATGTAATTTTAATAAAAAAAAACTATATTAAAATTTTTATTATGTGTCTTTAAATACATAAAGTTATTAAAAATTATCAAATAATTTTAATAAAAAAATTAAAATATTTAAATTGTATATTTTAAGTAATAAGTAAATGTGAGAGAATTATTTAAAAAATAGAGCAAGGTACGAAAGAGAAGATTTGAAGAGGAAAATTATAATGAAAGTTCAAACATTTCATATGTACTTGTTGGGAGGGAGTTGAGACTTGTCACTGCTTTTGTGGACCTATCTTAACAAGAGCTGTAAAGATATTTGGTTGAAAGAGATAAAAGACTAAACTGTGTGCTGAGGATACATGTCATACTCAGGATTTTATTAATAGTATATGAATGATGTAATGACAAAGTGTAACGTGCCAATCCATTCAAAATCACAAAAGATGAGGGAAGCCTAATGTATAAAATTTATATATAATTTGTTATTATCTTTTAGCATAGATTATTATTTAAAACATTTAATGTATTTTTATGCTAATTTAATATTTTAATGATATAAAATTTTTCACCCATATCATTTATAAGAATTTTTAACTTCAAATTATTCTTTTAAATGTTATATAATGCAATTAATATATATAAAACAAAAAAAAATTATATTGATATAAATTTAAAAACAGTTACATTCAATTTGAGTTTTTCATTTAATTTACACCTAATAATTAAAGAAGTAATAAAATATCATTTGTCATATATAAGTTAAATAAAAAATTCTAATTAAATATAAAAAAATTTAGAATTATACTGATATATATATATATATATATATATATATTATTTTCAATTGGCAAAGTCTAGGTTTAAAAAAAATCATTTCTATAATTAAAAATGATAATTTTTTTTTATTTCATATACAAGATTGAATTCAATTATGGTTAATATTTTATTTCATGTACATTCAACCATTTTACAAAACGGTACTTATTTTGTTTAATGTATATTTAATGTCTTTCTTTAGTATTTTTTTCTGAAATTTGTTGTAGTTATTGGTGCAAAATTAAATAAATGTAGTACAAAAAGTTCTTCATATAAACGGACTCATAGTGATTACTTTTAGTATATTTTTAAAAGAATGATAACCATGTTTTATTTAAATTCAAGTTATATTGAATTATTTAGGAATGTTTGTAATTTAACCTCTTCAGATTATATTTTTTTATTTCTTTAAACTAATTATATATATATATATATATATCTAATATTTTATAAATTTTAAATACATGTTATTATAGTTTTAATCTTTATTTATACTTTTATGTTTCATTAAATTCAACAATATCTAATGTGCCAAATATTTTTTTAATTTAAAATAAAATATTTGAATTTATTATAGATTCAAATATTTTCTAATATGATTACAAATAAAAATGTAAATATTAAAAAAATTAAAATAAAAGGAGAAAATATAATGTTGATTATAGATGGCAACACAGTACCGGTGAGTCTAGTGTTATTGTTGGTTCTGAGGATGGCGGCAAAGTCAACAAGAAAGTTCCGTTATAGAATAACGAGTGAATCTCATTGAGTGTACAACACGGACAAAGGGTGCGCGTGTGTGGAGTGTGTTCCCCAATGTCACGTGCATCAAGAACATTTCCCTTGGAAGTAAGCAATGTCATTGCCATTTGATACAGTAACGTTACTATTTTAATAATTTATTTTTTAATGTGTCAAATTCATAAAAAAAAATACTATCTATGTTTTACAATAATTTAAGGGTTTAATATAATGTATTTAACACTGGATATATGCAAAAATACGTTTTAACTTTTTTTTATCACATTATTTATTTTATTTACATTTTTATTTTGTTTTACTTTTTCTTTTTTGTAAAATATATTATGAAAACCTCTCTGTAAGAGTCTCGTTTGATGGAGCCACATGGTTGAGTTAATCTTGTTCTATGTGAAGTGGACTTCAAAGTGCAATGCTTCAGCAGAAAGCAACGTCCATTGCTCAGTGAATCAGTCTTAGGTCAGATAAAGGTTTGACCTTCAATTCTCCTACCACTACTTTTTTCATACCTTTTTTCTTTCCCTTAAGGTTAAGTTATCTAATATCTAAACAAATTTATAGATAGACTTGTTGATAATAATAATAATAACAATAATAATAATAATAATAATCTTTTATGTAAGTGGAGTAACAAAAAAATTGTGTTGACCATAAAGTTCACTGTTGGTAACAGCTCAAATATGATACTCAGCTTCATAATTATTAATCACTATTGACCTGACGAAATTGTGAAGTCAAAAAGCAAGTTCATTCTACATAGAAAACTAGAAATTGAAGTGACCCCCACAGTTCAATATTTGTAATGCAAGTTATCTACTCCTACTTCTCATTCAAGTTACCTTTGTTACTTTGTAAGGTGATAATAAGTGATACCTCTAGTTTAATTATGAGCAAGTGCATGATGAGTTGAAAAAAGATGAAAACAAATTATTACGTAGGTGTCATTTAATTCAATGGCATTCATTTTAATATTTTTTTTACTTTCTAAGAGCCATCAATCAAGTGTTTGAAAAACTTCCTTGTGAATCTGTAATATATTCTTCTCTGGGAAAATATAGTATTATTATCTGCCCCCTCTTTTTTTTCCTTAATAAGAGTGGAATGAGATTTTTATAATTTTATTGGAAATGGTAATCACTTGGACATTTAATGGATGCATGGAATTATGAGATAATATAAAATTTATAAATTTTAGCTCATTTTTGGAATGTTTCTAGAGGACCATGAATATTTAAAAATTAGCATTATAGTTATTTTGAATCATTGATCACATTTTAGTTATCTACCAAACGCAACGCTGAAGAAGACTCCCCAATTATCTGAACACTCAAATGTCATATCATGTTGATGGTTTTGCTACTGTTAATTGACCTAAGAGCTGTTTTACTAATAGCTATATTTATAAAATAAATAATATTTTTATTCTTATATTATTAATTATTTAAAATTTAATAATAATAATATTAAATAATTTTTATTTTCATAGATTATAAAATATTTTTAGAAAAAATATTTATCTATGATGTGCAAACTTGCACAGATTAAACTTTTTTAATTATTTATTTTTAAATAATTAAAAAATAATATTAAAAATGAAAAAAAGATAAATAAAAGAGAAAAAATGAGTAATTTAATTTTTTTAATTATTTAAAAACACATAATTAATAAGACTTAACATATGTAAACTTCACAAATAAATAAATTGTTATTCTATTCTATCAATTAGCATATAATATTAATGTGAAGAAATTACATATAAATTTTATTCTTATTTTAAAGAAACATGGATGAGTATATATAAAATCTTAAATGGCATTGATTAATAAATATTATTAAAAATTATTATTTGTTAATAAGTTCTTATTAAATTTATTTTTTAATATAGATTTTATCTAATAAAAATTAATATAAATATTAATTTTATATTAATATTATAATTTTTTTAAATTAAAAAATATAATAATGTTTAATGATTTTTACTTATTGATAAATGATGACTATTGAATAAAATTAATAAATAAAAATTTATTATAAATTTATAATAAAAAATTATTATATTTACTTAAAAAATAAATTTTGTAGTACCTTTAAAAAATTTTAGAATACTGCAAATTTTTTTAACTAATGATATTTATATACATATTTAAATGATAAATTTATTTAATAATAAATTATTATATTTACTATATTTATAAAAATGGTTAAATTTTTAAATAAAAATATAATACAATTAAAAATAAATAAACTAAAATTTAAAAATAAAATAATATTATTATATTTTTATATTTTTAATTTTATTATTATTAATATTCAATTATTTAATTATTATATTAAAATATTATGTTATAATTTTTTTATAATAAATAAAAATTATTTAAATATAAATTATATTTTATTTAAAAATAAAAATTTATAAAAAAATAATAGAAAAAAAAAATATAATATATATATAATAAGATTATATAACAAATAATATAAATAATATAATTTTAAATAAATTATATATAATAATATATTTTTTTTATAAATTATCATTTTTTTTATTGATTAAATTTTTTAGTTACAGTACCTATAAAAAAATTTATAATATCACAATACGCACTATTTTAAAATTAACTTCAGTTTTTTTAAATTTATTAATAAATTAATACTTTTATAATATCTATCCACATTCTTATTCTAAATTCAAACAAAACATTTAAAATTTTGCTAATTAATGACATGTATATGGTTGTTGTGTGTTGGTCTGGTTTTTAAAAGATGAAACATTTCCCAAAACGGATATTAATAACGTTCCTCTAACAGCAAAGTCTATCAGATCATATCTATGACAAAATTTAGATAATATATTTTGAATATTTTTAGTATTATTTTTAATAATTTAATTAAATATCCTAACTATGTAAACATTTTATAATAACATGTAACTATGAGTTGTTATATTAAAAAGGAATTTTATAAATAAATTTAAATTTTATATTTGATATATATTTTAATTAATTAATAATATAAATTTTTGTATACTAATACAATAATAATAATAACAATAAAGTCTTATGTTATTAAGTAAAATCAGTTACATAAATTACATCAATAAGTTTAATTAAAATTAAATTATTTAAAATATTATTTATTATTATATTTCATTATATTTCTTATAATAATTTATTTTAAAGATTT